TTTCCTGCTTGAACGCAATTTTCATGCGTGTTGTGTGTTAACTCGACTATTTATATATGCTTATTAATAGTGCATTATGGGTAGCAAAGTCTATTGTATTATCCTAAGGTTTATTAGGTGGGCGGTAACGGTTATATTTTATATTGTTCTGGAGGATATTGCTTAAAAGTAATTGTGAATCTGAATTGACACTTGAGTAAACACAGGCGATCCTATTAGTGAATTACATAACAGTTCAGTTTTCTTTTCTTTATTACCAAAGATATCCTCCTGTCTCGCAGTACTCTGCCCAGCTTTTGGAATGTGTCCTTAGCCATCCCAATACGCCTATAAATCTCAGTGTCGCACTTATCGTCCTCTGTCAAGACGCTTCCTAGGTACTTAAACTTCTGCGTCTGCTTGATTCTAGTGTTCCTGACCTTCAGATCACATTTCGGGCTCATCCTCTTACTGATGACCATGCATTCCGTCTTCTTGTAGTTTATACTTAGTCCCTTCTTCTCACTCTCCGTCGTTACCTTCCGTAGGAGATGTTGTAATTTCATTTCCGTGCCTGCTATCAGAACTGTGTTATCTTTCCCGAATATATCGAGGTTTCTGAGCAGTTCCATCTGATCCTTGTGGCGTACTTTGTCGAAGGCCTTTGTGTAGTCTATGAAACATAAGTACACGTCCTTCTGCGTCTGTATCGCTCTTTCTGATAACATTCTGAGCATGAATATCGCGTTCCTTGTTCCGGTGTCTTTAACGAACCCGCACTGTTCTTATCCTATCTCTGGGCTGATTCTGCGGCACGCTCTGTTCATTAGAAAAAATATAATGATAATGAGTTTTGTTCGGTGGAGTTCGCATTGGTTTGCGTCTGTTTTCTTATACATAGCTACAAAGATAGACCTGCTGAGATCTTCCGGTATATTCCCGCTGTTACTGGGACACAAAGAAAGAATTCTGGTGATAAAGTGAAGGCGTGCAATGTTAGCATCCCGCTAACACTTTCTTACGTTTTTGTGCAAAAAAGGTGGATCAGAGAGCCTACTCAGCTTAGTAAATATTTTCAGGAAATAATCAGCTTCTAATTGCTGAATAGATACACAAGTGGGCGTTGGAATTCACCCACGTAGAAATATTTTTCCAGCGCGTGACCAAGACAAGTTTCCCGCCAAATTGCTGTGAGCCTGTCACGTGATTACATTATCGATAAATAGCAGACCCAAGCTTGCTGTTTTCTCTTTTCTTTTTTCTCTCTCTTCTTGCTGCAAGATGTAGTCCCAAAAGGATTCTCGTCTCGACCATGGGCGGTCAGAGGTCAAAAGCATATTCACGCATGGACGTACGTACGAACTTTTCCAAACTACATTACAAACATAGAGAAAATTTCCAAACAAGCAACAAGAACTTTTCTCTTTGAAACATTCTTCTAAAACTATAGTTTGTAATTAATTCAACTTTTGTGAGTTCAGATAAAAATATTCACAGTCTAAGGGACATAATACCAACAGATCTTTAACTTCTACGAATGTACATCAACACACAAATAAATACAAATGTTATTGTTTTAAAACTATTTTTGTTTCTTCTTGTATTTCATGCTCTGTTGTATTTTACGTTTAATATAAATTGTGTGGTCATGTTATTCACGTAGCCATAAACAGACATCTACAAACCATCCATTCATATTAACATACCACTACACAATCATACTCTCTCCCTGCTAAGTATAATGCTTATATTTTTGTAACTATTTTTATATCTACCTTGAAACATTGCATACCAATTATTGGCGAATTTTGACCCAGGAGCTCAGGCAGAAGGGTTAAAACTGACTTCTCTTTTAAAGTTATTAAATAGTTCAGAAGACTCGCGTTTGGTATTCGTCGTCCTTATCATTTAGCCTCTTGTAGAATAAGCGGCAGAATTGTCTTCTCTGTCAGTCAACCGATCATCTCTTGAATTAGCGCTGGAAAACTTTTAATTTTTATCATTCTTACCATTTAGACAAAAGGTCTTCTATTGAAAGCGTCCTAGCATTTGGCATGAAAACTTCTGCAATTCTAAAACAAGTTATGGCACATGCTTTATACTTCAATCAGCGTTTGGTGTACGTCATTCTTAAATCCTCGGTAGCCCACAAAACTTTCAACCTTTTTTCCGCAAAAACTCATTGATTCTTACTCACCACTGTCAAACAGAGAAAAATGGCGTAGTTTGGACGCATTACAAGGCACGGCATCCTGTGCAAGACCATTATGCAAGGTACTATTGAATGTGAACGTAGGAAAGGACTCCAACACAAAAACTGGTTGGACAATGTCAAACAATGAACAGGTATGGCTGATTATTTATTGCGTAAAATTGCACAATTATGGCACAAGGCCGAAATGGAGGAGGGGTTGAGGCTGGTCGTCACTAACTATCTTATACCTAGCTAATCCGATTCACAATAAAATTCACTCATTCACTCATTACAATTTGACCATTCACTCATTACAATTTGCCCATTCACCACAAAAACTTGTCCATCACCAATCAATCCTCCATACACCATAATACCACATCCTCTCAAAGGAGTCCTACAATGCGCCCCATACCATAAAAATATAATGATTATATATGTGTACTTAAAAATTTATGGATGAATAAAATGAGAGGGGAGGGAGATGAACCCAATAAGAAACTAAAATTTTAATACAAAAGAAACTAAACATAACTGATGTTAGTAGTGCCTGTCCAACCCTCAAAATGAGAAGCCGCTGTATTCTGCCCATTTGGACAAAATCAAGAGGCTCTCTTGCTAAGGGAGTGGGAAAGGAGAAAAATATACGAACATGAAAAACATAAAAAGCTGGCCCAGTCGAGATGAAAAGAGGGCCAAAAAACAAACTGGGGATGTTGGGAATCTCAATTTGGATCATAACCAAAGCCAGGAACAGGCCAGGAACAACACTTACTCACATTAACTAGGTACACAAAGCTTGTCTAACCTAACCAAGGGGAGGGCTTCGCAGGAAACCACCCCGATGTGACATAGGTTTGATCTAAAAGAGAAAATCAAGGCTAGCCCCGTTCAAACAAACCAAGCTCGTCTCTTTCAACCACCTTTCGAAGACTGTCGAATGCAAGCGTTTTCTAACAGTTCTAATCTTCATCCTGAGCTGATACTCAAAGAATCGGATCAGATCATGATGAGAAAGATGATTGTCTTGCAAGACTTCCTCCATTCGCGTCGTTCAAATCACCATTCGAGCCGTGGCCAGCAGCGTAAGAAACACCAGAATTGCTGATGACTGCCGTTGATAGAGCGTTGTGAAAGAGATTCGATATAGCTTTTGCATTCGGATCCATCCTACGATTACAAAAGTCAAGATGATAATGATGATGATGATGAAGATTCTTAAATTCGCTTTCCTTTAAGGCTTGATTACGTGGTTTTGAGGCTTGATTACGTTTCGCTGACGATTATGTATTATGACAATTATGGATTATGTTTCGCTGATGATGTTGGTGATGATTAAGAAGATCAAGCCTATGAGAGAGAGAGAGAGAGTGTGTGTGTATATTTTAAGGTTCGAGCTGGAACATAGGAATAAATTATCAACCGGAAGAGCCAAGCTGCAAGACACTGTCCGCTTTAAAAAAGAAAGAAAAAATATTGTCAGTAGGCAACAAGAGAAAACCACTTGATAAGGAAGGCAGACGCGACTTTGTCCACATGAGCAGGAAATCCGAAAGGAACCAGATGTTGCAGACGAGGTCACATGATCATGTGCCGCAGTATCCACAGCGAGGCGATGGTTAGGGGAGGAGAAGTGTTTTTGACAGTAAACGTTTCTTTGTAATTCACTAAAGGCTAGAACCATTTACCCACACTCTTCCTCCTCCTCTTCCTCCCCTTTCTCCATCTGTTTTCCTTTTCAGGCACAAGGCTGTTTATCCAAAAACAAAATATTGACTTGCTGACTAATTCACAATTATATATTTATAAGGTAATTTCGAATACCAGTGTCTTATACCAGATTAAGCTCAGATCACTAAATATCAATATGAAAGTTTGTTGGGTACACTCAGCTGAATGACGCCAAGCCTCGTTTTGAAATTCGTTCTCATTTGTCTTCTGTAGGGTCTGCAAAAGTCTATTCAGTGTAAGGGGCCATTTTAATTGACGCATAGCTTATATAAGAGGTGTTATCGAAATATTTTTTAAAATTAGGAATGACATTATTATTATTACTATTATTACTACTACTACTACTACTACAACAGTATTACTTATTATATAATAATAATAATAATAATAATAATTGATATATTTACCGACGATCCGTTTACTCCGACATCTACCAACCCTGCGACCTCCGCCACACAACCCCAAAAAATAAACTTATTTCATCACCTTTGGCGTTTAGCTATGCAGGAAACTCAATGTTTAGTGGGGTCATAGGTTCTCAGCAGTGTGGAGTTCAAACGAGAGACAAAACAGCGGCGCATTTCGACTGACTGCAGACAAAATCTGCTCATGGGACTGGGACAACTGGCAGCGTACTGACGTCTGTAATAACACCACGAGACTTCAAGTCACGTGTCCGTTGATTTAGAGAATACCAAGTTTGTCTGGTTCTTTTTTTTAACATTGTGTAGATAATAGGAAATGCGTAGCAATGAATAGCGGCTCGGGGCGGGGGGCGAGTTCGAATTCCAGGCGAGTTCCTTAATTCACTTATGTGTTAATACCTTTGGGGAGAATATGAATCCATCTCTTCCCTCTCCAACTATGGGTAAATAGCAGGACAGACTGTATTCTATAGCCTTGAGTGGCAAACAGTCTAGGAAAAGGACAACTCTGAATTCAAATAATGTACGGACCGAGGATGACCCACATCGTGTCCCGTGGTCTTCAGCTGTTTAGGGAGAAGATGGGCGCTGTCATGCTATCTGAAAGCCCACTGAAAGTATCATGAAAAAGCAATCTGTTTCTTCTGGTCCCCGATCATTGAAACAATCAGCAGCGACCTAAAGACTGATGATGATGATGATGATGATGATATATTAGAGGAAAATTATCTCTCTTTACCGTTTTCACTCAATCTCTCATCTATCTTTTCATCTTTCTCTCTTTCTCTCACTCTTTCTCTTTCTCTCTCTCTCTCTTTCTCTCTCACTCTTTCTTTCTTTCACACTTTCTGTCTCTCTCTCTCTCTCTTTCTCTTGCTGACCTTGTCTCTGTTTCTCTTTCTCTCACTCTCTCTCTCTCTCTTTCTCTCTCTCTCTCACTTTCTGTATTTTTCTCTCTCTCTCTTTCTATATTTCGAACTCTCTCTGTCTTTCCCTCACGCTTTCTCTTTCTCTGTCTTTCTCCCTCTCTCTCTTTCTTTCCATCTTTCTCTCTCTTTCTTTCTCTCTTTTAGCCATTTTCTTGTCACTTTTCTCCCTCATACTCCTTACCTCTTCCTCTCCTTATCTCACTCTCTCTTTCTCTCTCTCTCTCTCTCTCTGTCTCTCTCTGTCTCTCTCTCTCTGTCTCTCTCTCTCTCTGTTGATAGCAAAGGAAATCGTAAGTTTTTTTTTTTCAATTTGTTCATTCAGTGGTAGAAAAAAATCCTGAAGAAGTCCCTGGTAAAAATTCCCAACAAAATAATAACCTCTAATGGAAAAAACAATTCCCTTAGGAAACTCTTCCAGTCGTCAAGGGTTGTACAATATGACAGGTTGTTAAACTCTATATCATCATGTCACAAGCCTCATAGCCAAATAAGATCATAGGGAAAACATATACTGCATCCATAGAAGTAGTAGTAAAAATAAGGGAAGATAGCCTGATAGAGACCAAGTTTCTTCATGCTGGCTGTGAATTCAAAGTTTATCTTTCTCCTTAATAAGTTGCCGCAAGAGAACCCAGTCAACCCTACTATTTAACCCATAGCTGCGTAGAGAAGAGATGGATTCATCTCTTTCCCAAGTGGAAACATCGGAATCCATCTCCCCATCTATGGGTTAAATAATAAGTCTTGTACCTGGAAAAAAGTTATTCTCAAAAAATTTTAATGCAATATTCGCTCGCAAAAATAGAATTATTCTTAGAATTCAAAATATATTTAAGCTTTAAATAACCCAAAAAGTGTTGATAAACCGTAAAAAACAAATCAATCAACCTTTCCTTAGGATATCTGTGCGAAAGCGACCGCAATGTAGAACTTTATTAAGAGAAATGAAATACTACGTGTGTGTAACAAAAAATCAATGGTACATTTAAATAAATAAAGCGCAGTGTACGTCTGTCCGTCCGTCCGTCCATCCGTCCGTTTTTCGATCTCAGCGGACCATAAACAACCTGAAGTCACAGGTAGTAACTACTGTAGTTAGACGCGATTAAGAATTAAAGAAATAACTCATTTTAAAGTTAAATTTAAATATCAAACAGAGTGAAAGATTTAAAAAAACAATTCTTTATTAAAGGTTTAACTTTAATTTCGCTTCTCGTTGCAATTGCAATTGATATCGTCTAATTAAACAGTAATTAAAATTTAAGCGGGGCACGGTACGCTGCTCATATTTTTTTGTTTTTGTTTTTGTTTTGTTTTTTTTTTCCTTTTTTCTAACACGCGTACGTCTTTTGTAATCGAAATATTACATAGTCCAGGTTCTCTAATGTTTTTTTTAAGAGTGACTTTAAGTGAAGGGATCATAATGGATGTTGATTTTAAAAGAAAATAAAAATTGCGCGCAAAATAAATGTAAACTAACCATGGAGATCGGTTGCGTATACGAAGAAAGATTATGCCGAATTAAGGTGTCGAATAAAGATAAAAATCAATTATTATTACTAAATTCTTATAACTTTTGCGTACATAGGACGCTGAAGGTAAAAGGCCGAAGGGCGGTTTCTAAGCTGTTTTTAACAATAAAATGACCAATAATATTTTTTTATAGCAAAATGACAATAAAACACTAAAAAAACTATAAATACATTTTTGTAGTAAACTTATCAACAATCCATTTTATGATCTATAAACTATATATCTAAAAAAAAAACATACCTTTACCCTGAAAGTATAAAATTTATGTACAAAATATCTTTAGTTGAAACCATAAAATTGTGTTCAAAATATTTAGATTTCGGCATATAGAGGGTTAATATGCCGCCAAACAAAATCAACCAATCAAGTCCGTGTGTGTATATTTATTGTATTTTTACGTACAATTTAGGCACAAGGCTGCAGATGAAGTAGGGTGAGGCTGGTCTTCACTGACTATCCTAAACCTAGCTAACCCCATTCATTCCTTACAATTTACGCATTCACAAACAAGAATACATCACCTCTTCATCCTACAATTACCAAAATATCTGAGTTAGATATCAAATATTATCAAATATCGAGTTAGACATATTATCAAATATTATGAAATATCGGAGTCAGACATATTGTCAAATAAAATATCGGAGGTAGACATATTACCAATATTATCAAATATCGGAGTTAGACATATTATCAAATATTATCAAATATTATCAAATATTGGAGTTAAACATATCAAATATTATCAAATATCGAGTTAGACATATTATCAAATATTAACAAATATCGTACTTAGACATATTATCAAATATTGGAGTTAAACATATCAAATATTATTAAATATCGAGTTAGACATATTATCAAATATTGGAGTTAAATATATCAAATATTATTAAATATCGTGTTAGACATATTATCAAATATTATCAAATATCGGAGTTAGACATATTATCAAATATTATCAAATATTGGAGTTAAACATATCAAATATTATCAAATATCGAGTTAGACATATTATCAGATATTAACAAATATCGTAGTTAGACATATTATCAAATATTGGAGTTAAACATATCAAATATTATCAAATATCGAGTTAGACATATTATCAAATATTATCAAATATTGGAGTTAAACATATCAAATATCGAGTTAGTCATATTATCAAATATTAACAAATATCGTAGTTAGACATATTATTAAATATTATCAAATATTGGAGTTAAACATATCAAATATTATCAAATATCGAGTTAGACATATTATCAAATATTATGAAATATCGGAGTTAGACAAATCATGAAATATTATGAAATATCGGAGTTAGGCATCAAATATTATCAAATATTATCAAATATCGGATATTTGTTAATATTTGATAATATTTCTAACTCCGATATTTGATAATATGTCTAACTCCGACATTTAATAATATCTGACAATATGTCTGACTACGATATTTAATAATATTTGATATGTCTAACTCGATATTTGATAATATGTCTAACTCCGATATTTGATAATATTGAATATATTAACGCCAATATTTGATAATAGTTCTAACTTAGATATTTCATAATATTTGATAATATGTCTAACTCCGATATTAACTCCCTCTCTGATTTGGGTTTATTGGAGACAACATCCATTAATGTTATAATTATGAACCTCCCGAGTTAATAATTCTTGTGTTTGTTTATTTATTGTTTTTCCCACACGTTCTTTAACATTAAATGTCCCAATGATAAACACTTTATATGCAACTGGAGGCATTTATAAAATTTTAAATAAGTTGCCAACTTTTAACGGTTGACAACCGGAAAAGTCATTAACGTCACCGCGAAAGAATTTATATGTTGTTAGTTCAACTTTTTTCGTTTTTTTTTTTTTTTTTTAAATATCGCGCGTTGGCTTTTATGGCGTTACGCGTTAGTCACGTCGCAGTGCTTTTATTTATTTTGTTTTTATAATGAAATATATTTAGTATGGTGGGTCTGATCCTTGATGTAATTTTGCTGATGTTTGATGGCGAGGTATTATACTCAATGCCTCTAATGGCTAATGATCGAACTAATGACAAAAATAAACACAGAAATACACACACACACACATGCACACACACACACACACACACATGCACACACACACACACACATATATATATATATATATATATATATATATATATATATATATATATATATATATATATATATATAATATAATATAATATAATATAATACAAAAGGCTCAAACACTAATATTCCATGGTTATAATTTATTACATTGGAATCGTAATCACGATCCAATTCATCAGAGCTACAAATTCAAAAAGAAATTGGAAAATATAACTCTATAAGTGTGAGAGGGAAATGTATGAAAGCTCTAGAGAGAGGGTGTAATAGAAGAAAGAAGAACAGGAAGGCCTAAAGGTGAAGGTGGGGATTAATTAAAATTTAGCAGAGAGAAGTTTTAAAGAGGAGAGTTAAATAACGGTTTTAATGAGTGAGATACCGATGAATATGAATTATTTTTCGATGCATAATTCGCTACCGATTCGCTGACATAATATATATATATATATATGAATTGGAGAGCCGAGTTCCAATTCCAGTCGAATCCATTGCATTCACTTACGTGCTAATACCCTTGGGAAAGGTGTGAATCTTCTTCTTCTCCCTCCAGCTATGGGTAAATAGCAGGACAGATTGGGTTCTATAGCCTTTGATGGCAACTGGTCTAGGGGAAGGACAACTCTGAATTCAAAACCTGCCGAGGGTCGTTTGGGGACCTTGTGGCACCAGGTCTCTGAATTCGGCCCTTCAAAAAGTGTGACTGGTCTTGCACGAAACCTTCACCACTATAATCAAATCTCATGTGCTGTTGTCGGGCTGTCGGTTTCCTGGGAACTGATCTGCTTGACCCTCATACGTCGAATTCGACGGGAGAGTCGACTATATATATATATATATATATATATATATATATATATATATATATATATATATATTCCATTAAATACGACTGACAAGGTATTGCAGGTAAGTTTTTTTATTTAATTTTTCTTGTGTTCTTAGTTCTTATAATTTTCTTCTTTTCTGGACGTAAATTAAAAATTGTCCAAATGTTTTGTATATCTGAGCGCTTTCGGCTATACGTTTAGCCATTACTAAGGATGATTTTATTTTTTCCTTTAAACTGAATTTATGAATCGTTTTATATATGTATCTAGAGCTATAGGAATGTTTTATTTTCCAAACATGGTCAGCACATTGTGACCGTGTTCATAGTTGATATCATTGCGTGTTGGCTTTTTCAGGCGGCCTGACGATTGCGTCTAGCACGAAACAGCCTGTCGTCTCTGAGTGTTGACTTCAATGTTCACTTTTATATTTATATACGCTCTATCTATATTTAAAATTCTATAAATGCCTCCAGTTGCATATAAAGTTTTTACCATCGAGACATTTAATGTTAAAGGTCTTGTGAAAAAAAGCGGGAATTATTGGGTCACGACGTTGGGAATTCTACCATTAATGTCTTCCGTTTTGAATCGAATTTATCCAAGTACAGCGACGAAGACATAAGTGGTTACCGGGTGTGAAAGAATTAGAAAACAGAAAACATCATGAAAGCGCAAAAACAATAATAATTCGAAATCAAAATCGAAGAATTTGACAGTATGTTAATATTAGCTTTGGAAACAGACGTAAACATTCTTTGTCGAATTTTTTCCTAGAATTGTTCGTTTCCTCTGCTGAAAACTGTTTTCTTGTAAACGTGTCTTGTTTTCTTTTTTGTTTTTCTGTATCTCGATTAGAAATCGCTACATGATGAGACATTTCTTCCATAAACATAAATAAAATAAAAAAATGTCTTAAAAAATAATTGTCGGACTTTGTCCATTTCCTAATGTGTGACGGCATTTGTTTACATTTGGATACGCATCGAGCAGATATGAATGTATGAGAGAAAATCATGGAGAATTGTGTTTAAAAACAGTAAAATCGACCTTGCTAACCGAACGCTCCTCTGTGGCCCAATCGGTAAAGACACGTTAGGCTATATGACGGTTCCGTATAGGATACAGGTTCGATTCCTGTCGGAGAACGCATATTTTCTATGAAAATTTCTCGGACATTCAGGCCGGTAAATGTTGTTAATACTGTTTATTATAAACAGAGCATTTACTTAAATATTTCTTCCAATCAAATCGACATTATTTGTGGAAGTAAAATTATTCTTCCTTCTTCTTCTTCCGTGTCTCTTCAGGGTGATCATGGCTCTCTACGTCTTCCTGTCCTTTATACCTTTTAATAAGGTTTCTTTGTTCACAAACTCATAAAACCAAACATCACGAAATGTGGTTCTGTTATGATTTTCGCTTTTCTCTCTTTCTCTCTCTCTCTCTCTCTCTCTCTCTCTCTCTGTATCCCTCTTTTTCCTGTCTCCAACTTTCTCTTTTACCCCTCTCTCTCCACTTTCCTTTCTCTCCTCTACTTTTCTCTCTTCGCTCTCTTTCCTTTTCTCGCTTTCTCTTCACCTCTCTCCATTTCACCCTCTACGTTTCTCTCTACATACCTCCTTCTGTCTTTTTTCACAATCTTTCTCTTTCGTTCATACCTTCCCTCTTTTCTCTCTCTCTCTCCGTCTTTCTCTACTCCCTGCACCTTTCTTCGTCCTCCTCTCTTCATCTTTCTCTCTCTTCTTGTGCCTTTTCTTTTTCTTCTTTACTCACCCTCTTTCTCTCTTCCCCTTACCATACAACTTTTCTCTCTCTCTCTCTGTCTCTCTCTTTCTCCCTTCGTCTCTCCTTCTCTCAACCCCACCTTTCTTACCACCTTATCTCTCCACAATCTCTCTCCCTCTCTACAACTTTCATTCTCATCTTCTTACTTCGTCAATCTCTTCTTCTGTCTTCCTCTATCCTTCCAACTTTCTCTCTTTCCTACACCGTCCTTCACTCTCTCCATCTCCCTTTGTGATCGTGACTCACCTCTCTCTCCTTCCATCTTTCTCTCTCTCCTTTCAAATTTATCTTTCTCTCCACCTTTCTTTTTCTCCCTTTCTTCCTTTAGCTTTCTTCATTCTCCTCTATTCCCCGTCTTTCTTTCTTTTATATCTTTCTTTCCCATTTTTCTTTTCTTTTTTTTTTCTCTTCCTCCATCTTTCTCTCTCATCTCTCACCCGCCATTCTTCTTTCTTTTCTTCTGTCTTATTCTATCTACTTCTTCATCCTACTTTTCTCTCCGTTTCTCTCTCTTTTTCTTTCTCTCATTCCATCCTTCATTAATTCCGTATACTCAAATCTGTTCATTCGCACTTACCCGTTGGCAGTGGGGTTTGCAAGAAGCGCAATGCCAGACGAGATCCCAGTTATCAAACGGTGTTAATAACATGTGATAAGCGCGCTTCCATTTCTATCGTATTTACCCTTTGAGACAGGAAACTCACGTTGCTCTCAATTAGTCAGTCATTGTCCAGATGCCTCTCGTATCCGGCACAAAAAAAAAGCCTGAAAAGAAAACCAACTTTTAAATATTTGGCGACGATATTGGATAAGAACAACAAAACACTGGATGGAGAGCTGTGATTAGCCACGTTCTGAAGCAACATTACACACACACACACACACACACACACACACACACACACACGCACACGCACACACACACACACACACACACACAGACAGATTAAAAGAAAATTCAGCAATGTTTAATCTTCGTGCCGGGCTTACGGCTACATCATTTTGAAACAGCGGTTCCTGTACGATCATCGAAGTTAAGCAAATGTCGAGCCTGGTCAGTGCGTGTGGGTCTTAAGGATAATGGCTCGGAATTATTAATCAGCGAGTCAAGTTCTCGTACGATCCCCGAAGTTAAGCAACGTCGAGCCTGGTCACTACCTAGATGGGTAATCACTTGGGAATACCAGCTGTAAGCTTGGATGTGCGGATGGTGTAATGGATAACAGCTCGAGAACTGGAAATCAGAGAGCCGAGTTCCAATTCCATTCGAGTTCCTTATAATCATTTACACGCAAATTTCCTTGGGAAATGTATGAATCCATCTATTCTCCCTAAATCTATGGGTTAATTAGCAAAACTTGTATCATTAAAACCTTTTTTATCTCACAAAAAATAAAATTACGTACAAAATATTTAAATTTCGGCATTAAATAACTCATAGAGGCTGATATGCCGCTAAACAAAAACAACCAGAAACCTTTATTCATGCGGTTTGTCAAAAGGATGGTTATTCCCTTGACACCGCTATTACACCGTTTTTGGATCCCTCGACAATTTTGATTCACAAGATTATAAAAATATCTAAACCAAATATAATGCGGTATTTATTATTAATTTTTAGGGAGAAACAAATATGAAAAGATTTTTTTATGCAAAAGTTTATAGAATATTACAAATTATCAAAATATATAAACCAACAACAAAGCAAACATTCTGTAATTCAATACAAGGAACATTTTGTCCATCCAATGAATAGGAAGATACACCCTTGTTCAAATTAATTGAAACAAAACGAATAATTCCGTTATTATTTACTGGTAACGCTTGCCAGTGTGTTCGTGCTGCGTTCTAATTTTCGTACACTACCTTGGAGTAACGTCCATCGCAGACAATGGCCGTAGGACAACTAATCGACAGTCGAGACAATAGTGTCTGGACGTGATAAAAAATCTGATATAATTACGATGACGTAATAATTTTCATGATCAAACAGATTTCATCAAACACTTATAGATTCATATTAGTGCACACCACTATAAATGACCTAATAAAAGAATATTTGGTTCAGAGATACTCTCAACCCATTTTAGTAAATTTCTGTGGTGAGGGCAAATGAAAGGAAAATGCATTTTTTCCAAATTTATAATTAGAGTTACTCGTTGTTAGGTGTTTATTTAAATTTTCTTGTTCATAGACATTTTTTGTAAATTTATCAATCAAAAATACTGTTTTCATATTTATTTCTTTGTAAAATGGTAAAGAAAAATTTACATTATTTACATTGTTCGAACTGTTGCCCTCATCTTTATTGACGCTTTTATCCACTGTGCCATGTGTCTTTGGCAAGTGTACAACGGCAGAAACTTCGTGAATATGGCAAGAAAGATGGGGACAAAAGTCCGAACAATGTAAATAGTGTAAATAGTTACAATACCTCGTCTCAGAAATATAGACAGGTCCTGAAGAAGACCGGAGCGTGCAATAGCCGAAACTTCGTGAATATGGCAAGAAAGATGGGAACAACAGTCTGAACAATGTAAATAGCGTAAATAGTTACAATACCTCGTCTCAGAAATATAGACAGATCCCGAAGAAGGCAGGAGCGGGTAATGGCCGAAACGTCGTTAATATGGCAAGAAAGATGGGGACCACAGTCCGAACAATGTAAATAGCATAAATAATTACAATACCTCGTCTCAGAAATATAGACAGAGACTGAAGAAGGCCGGAGCGCGCAACGACCGAAATGTCGTTAATATGGCAATAAAGATGAGATGACAACAGTATGAACAATGTAAATAGCTTAAATAGTTACAATACCTCATCATAGAAATATAGACACCCATTTATATGTTTGGGTTCTATTAAAATTCTAATCATCGTTTTTTTTTTTTAAAATAATCATTGCTAAGGACATAAAAAATAAACGGTATAATATCAAAGAAATAATCGTCCTTTTAGCACGTCTTTTTTTCTTTTTCTTTTTTTCGAGCAGGAAGTATATGCATTGCCGAAAATCCTAAAAGAATTTTCGTTCCTATATTCGAAAAGAAAATACTTCTAAATGTCTGATAACATATTTTTTTTACTAAGCTTACCTTAGACTCGGGGCAGTGGACGTGTGGTTCTACAGAAGGATGTTGAGAATACCGTAAACGGAGCATGTAAGCAATAAGGAGATTTTAACGAAAACTGAAATAAAAAGGGCTCTTGTAACTAAGATTAGAAAAAGAAAGTTGAAATTCCTTCGAACCATAATGAAAAAAGAAGGCCTGGAAACTTTGACACTCACCGGGCACGGTGAAGACAAGCGGAAGCGTGCACGCAGCCGCTGGAAGGACGTCGTCCGCCAGAACCTCCGGCAAATTAATCTAGCGCTGGAGGATGTGCCACCGACACTCTGCCAAGACCGTGGGAGCTGGAGGGTTAAGGTGGCTCTGGTGGGCGCAACGCCTTCATAGCATGAGATCTAGCAGAAGCAGCAGCAGCAAAAATTCAAAGACAATGGTATTTCGCTTTCACTCGAGCGCACGTGTGTGTGTGTGTGTGTGTGTGTGTGTGTGTGTGTGTGTGTGTGTGTGTGTGTGTGTGTGTGTGTGAAAGAGAAGTAGAATTTATCTTGGCCAATAGTAACACTTTCAGCTTGTTCCTATCAATTCAACTGAAAATTAATATCAATATTAAGGGATTAATTTTAGATTATCTCAGGGAGAAATCGTAAAATGTAAAAGGTAAGAAAAATGGCAAGAATTCAATAGAAAATTCACTGCCCTATACTTACCAGATTATAAGAAAAAAAAACTTTTTGGAAAGTAGCCAAAAGTTTGTTATCGTTGAAGAAAAACTCAGTATTTGGTGTCTGAGGCTGTATCGTTAAGAGATCGCGATTAATATAAGTAATGACCGGCTACTTGTTTTCTGAGCACACGCGTCAGCTTGGGTGGTTAGCTAACCCCTGATGCAGATGCCGGCTCAGGCACATTTGTTTGCTTTGGTTTGTTTTGTTTTACGGCATATCAATTTCAATTGGTTATTTAATGCCGACAAAATTTTTTTGCTGGAAACATTTGTTTTTTTCCAAAAATCCATTTCTGGTAATATTCTTTTCTTTCAAAAATCTATTACTGGCAACATTTCTTTTACTTCAAAAATCTATATCTGGTAATATTTCTTTTCCTTCAAAAATCTATTTCTGGCAATATTTCTTTTCCTTCAAAAATCTATTTCTGGTAAAAAATTTTTTCAAAAATGTATAGCTGGTAATATTTTTTCTCAAAAATGTATTGCTGATAATTTTTAAAAAAGTGTACTGCTGGCAAAAATTCTTTCTTCAAAAATTCACTGCTTGGCAGCAATTACTTACAAAGTTTTTCTGGTATTAAAATCTATTTTTACACTTTCATAGAATTTGGACCCCAGTTTGGGGTTAACTATTTGCCCATAACTGGGACCCTAACAGGTGCTACCACCCCGGATTAGGGTGGATCTGGGAACGCCAGAAATTAAGAGGTGTTTCCACGCTCCTCAAAACTTCCTGATCAGAGGCTTTGCTGTTGGACGTAGTTTATCGTCTTAACCAGGACGGGCACATCTGTGTTTGTTCAGCGCCCATAAAGACTACTTGTGGTTTATGCTGCAATTTCAATAGTAAAATGGTGAGATCCAGCTGCTAATCTAGAACTGGTCTTTAATTTGTAAAGTCAAGGTACCAAAGCGAAAAGTTCACCAGAAAAAACTACTATAAATATATTCACGGTAATTGTTCTCAATAAAATTTCCTTATTGGTACCTCGGTTTCACGAATTTAAATGCATTACTAGATTGGTAGGTAGGTCTCATAATTTTACTGTTGAAATTGCTAGATGTAACCGTAAGTTCTTTTATAATCGTTTCTTCTCTTTAACTCATCGCTCGTGGAACTCTCTTCCACCTTCTTGCTTTCCCATCGACGACGATCTTCAAAAATGTAAGCGCAACGTGGATAATCATCTTTTGTCTCCTTGAACACTGTTCTCTCTCTCCTCAATAAAATTTTTTGTCACTTTAGTGGCTTTATTGCCTTGCTTGTAGTGGAAATTATTCTTAAACTATGCAGTGAGCACCTGAGATACAGTTTCTGGGAGAGAGCGCATAATGTGGCGTGATCAAAAGTTTAAACAAGGTTAGTACAGTATCTGTCTATATTTCTGAGATGAGGTATTATGTACACTATTTACATTATTCAGACTATTGTCCTCATATTTGTCGTCATATTTATCACAACGTTTCGGCCCTTCAGTATCTGTCTAGATTTCTGAGATGAGGTATTGTGTACACTATTTACATTATTCGGACTATTGTCCTCATCTTTGTTGCCATATTTATTACAACGTTTCGGCCTTTCAGTATCTGTCTATATTTATGAGATGAGATATTATGTACACTATTTACATTATTCAGACTATTCTCCTCATCTTTGTTGCCATATTTATTACAAGGACACTGAGATGAGGCATTATGTACACTGTTTAAATTGTTCGGACTATCATCCTCATCTTTGTTGCCATATGTATCACAACGGTTTAGCCGCTGTACACTCCGGCCTTCTTCAGGTGATTGAAATGTCGAACTGAACCCTGAGGTAGACTGTTCTAGTTTAACGTGCCATGTCTAA